ATGATGGCAATAGATAACGAAACAGAAAGTGAAAGGGATAAAGAAATAAGTACCCGAAAATTGTTGAGGACAACATAACCGTGTCGTCTAGAGATTTCAATCCAATAAACCTGTTGGGGTTCCAATCCAGTAGTCTATAATAATAAGTGTACTGACCACTTTATATCATTTATTGTACACATAATTTACCGTAAAGAAGTTGCGGTTAATCGAAGGCTGCCTGGAGGAATAAAAATGTGAGGAAGATGAGTAGAAGTGGAAGGATTCAAAAGATCGACCTACGGGACGTTGTGTCAATGAACTCAACCACTTGAGTATCGCCACTTTAGCAAATCCAACTAATCTAACAATGAAAACTTTGTTCAATTGTCTTGGGGAGGGGGGATAGCTTCTTTCAGAGCAGTCCGCATCCAGAAAGTCTAGCGAAAAAAGACATGATCAAGACAAATCTATGCCATGATTGTCACTGGTTTATTCCGTTAGTTGGGAAAAGCCCAGTCAGTTGTGCTGCCATATTTAAGTATTACCGCGAAATACCGAAATGTCGGCCGTGGCTCTTAGCCGAAAACAGTAAGTAATTAGCGAGAACGTGTACGATAAGGATACCAGGAACTCAACCAGACTTTACAAGAACCTATCCGCACAAATCGCGGGGCGTATGATTGGCAGGTGGCCATTTGGCACGGCGAAACCCAGCTGCAAATCGGAATGGTAAAATGGGAGTAAGAGGGTGGAGGGGGCAGCAGTGGTTATCCCAAGTCATACATCGCGTTTTTCGCGGACTAACAAACACACAGACTTGCCTTGGGCAAAATTTTAATTAACCACAGTCTGAGCCACGTAACGCAAGAAACAGTTTCAGTGCGAAAAAACATCTGTCATCAAAAGAGTATCCGGAGAAACAGAAATTGCTGAAGATGAGCTCGCTTATGGAAATAGTCCGGTTTTCGTTCCGACCAGAATGCGTCCATAATTAGGGACAATCATACACACACACATACACAGTATGTAACGGGCGAACAGATGTGTTCAAACTCGAGACCAGAAACACCGGATCATGCATTATTCTAACAGTACGTGACGATTGCAAAATTGCGGTGGGAATCAAAGAATACAACGGTATAACAGACCAAGTCTACGGACGGCTAGGTCGTTCACAAAGACCGAGATCCTAGTCACATTGTTTACTGATAACGGCTCACCAGTACAAAAACAATGCTTCTTTGTCTTGTCTCTTGAATAAGGCCTTCGGATTTGTGTTCTGATATTTATTTATGGGTAATCAAATTCACAGACTAGTGCTGTTAAATAACGGATAACTAAACTCATGGAGAGGGAGTCAAAGTGATACCAAACCAAACATGTACCATTCACGAACCGCCAAAGTTTCATGGAATCACATACAAGTTTGTTTGTACATGTAGTATTTAATGCTAGACAATCGGTTCATCTGACCCGAAAGATAAAACGGATGACGAAGGCATTATTTGTTAGGTCCAATTAAAAGCCTGGGATAGAATTAGGGTCTTCAAAATGGGTGTCGGTACGTTTCTCCGACGAAGTTTACTACGCACGATTTTGATTTACATTCAAGTCACAGGGATATTTGGATAGTGGGCTGGTTGATATGGGAACAATTGAGGCGTTCCATGCGGGCTTTTCTTTGCGTGAAGGTAAAGCTGATCAAACATCTTTTATTGTTCCTCTTATACTCGAAAATAATTGTGGGGCGTAGCAATTGGACCGGTGCAGCGATGAATAAAGCACCGGTGAATGTAGCAGACTGCAGGATACTCGTGGTTATCAAATGGCTTAAGTGGCTGTCACTGGAGTGCTTTAAACCCTATGATCCGAGGTTGAAACACCGCCATCTCTAATCAAACTTTCGTGATAGGTATTTTCAGTGTTGATCGCCTAAATACCATGTCTACCTTAGTGAACTTTACGTGGTTGAGCACTCCAATGTCCCAGAGGTTATGTGGCCGGTTTAGAAAAATAAAACGCTCTTAAGAGATAATCGGGTTTACCTCGTCTGCTTTTCCCAACCAAGGAGGATTATCGATTCCTTTTTAAACTGTATCAAGTGAAGATCAAATGCACTC